GGCAGAACAGTGTTGCTCCCGGCTGCCGAGCTGGCTGTGCACTCACCGAGCTGGTCGAAGTGGGTCTCGGTACCCTGGGGCCCAGGGATGGAGCACACCAGGCGGGCCTTGAGGAACGTGCTCCAGCGGTTGATGAGGCTGCGCTTCCCTCCAACGTCATTCTGCCGGGCACCAAGAGCCAGGCTCAGCCCGGCCTCTCCGAGCCTCCCCCACCGCCGTGCACTCCTTGGTCCCCACAGTGGGACACCCTCAGCCCTGAGCCCTCTGCTCTGTGGTAGGGGTGTGGTGACACCCTCATGTCCGCCCCTTGGCCCAGAGAAGGTAAAAGCCCACCTGGTGGGACACCCAGTTATGGCATACTGGCCTTTGGTGACTGACCTTGCAGACCCGGGCCACCCTGGCATGGATGTGCCGCCTCTCCCACTGCCCAGCTTCCATGGCCGTCTCGCGGAAAAAGATGTAGACCTTGTCATCGTGCGGGTTGTAGGTATCGGGGATGGCGTAGGCACCGACGAAGGCGGGCTCTGTTGGGGGGAAGGAGCAGCACGACATGGCCCTGTGCCCTGTTGTACTGCCCTTGGAAGCCCTTGGGAGCAGGGTGAGATGCTGAGGGCACCCAGGGTGCCCCATGGAGACCCTGCTACCCAGAAGGCAGAGCCCCATTCCTGGTGCCCAGGCTGCAGAGTGCATGCTGGAGCACGGGTCCCACCAGAGGCTTCATCAGTGCTTCCCCCCACAGAGGAGAAGGAAGTCAGACCACTGAGCTCTGGAGCCAGTGCTGGCCCCCCCCCCCCTCCCCAGCAGGCAGGAGAGCCCCCCGTGCCCCACGGGCCCCCCCGGTCCTACCGTGTAGCCAGTGGTCCTGGTTCTGCTCCGTCCGGATGTAGCTCTGCTCGGCCCCATGGACCCAGGTCCGGAAGAAGGCAGCGCTGCTGCCCATGAAGTCACTGGACGTGCCCGAATAGAGTTCCCCATCTGCAGGGTTGGGGGTGCGGGTGGGTTGGGGTGCCACAGCTGGAGGTCCCCTGAGAGGACGTCCCTGTGTCCCCCGAGGCTCGGGGAGGGTGGAGGTGGCACAGCGTGGCTGAGAGCCTCCTCCAGACCTGTGACCCAGCATGGCTTCTAGCCCCCAACCCGCCCAGCCCTTCCACAGCATTGGTACAAGGTGGGCAGGCTGGTGGCACCGCACACCCCCACGTGTGTGCCGCTCGATCTACACCCTGCATTCGCGATTCTGTGCAAGAACTGCGAGGTCGGGGTGAGCCAGGGCAGGATGGCTCTGCGGGATGGCTCCTCTCACGCACCGGACCAGGACTGCAGCCATGTGCAGCAGGGCAGGGCGCAGGCACTGCTGCCATCGCCTCCCAGCACAGACCATCCCCAGCGCTCCCACCTTCCAGCATCACCTCTGCTCCCTCTTACCGATGAGAAGCCCTGTGAAGGGTTCATGGGGGCTGTACGGGCACCGTCCTCGCCCCGATTCCAAGGAGTGGGTCACCAACCGCATGGGGGGAGTCCCAGGACCCTGCCAGAGCCAAAGGGAAGATGTCAGCCTGGGGTGAGGCTGGAAACAAGCCGGGCATGTGGAGAAGAGTGGGAAGGAGGTTGGTGTCCTCGGTGGGTCCCCTCGGAGGGGGCTGCCAGGACCCAGTCCCATCCCCATGGGCACCCTGGCACTGCCAAACCGGGGCTGCTTCTCACCACACGCAGCAAGGCCATGCAAGTGTCAGGGACCCTGGCCACCCGCCCCGGGCTCTGGGACTCCCTCTCCCTCCCCCTCGCTGGTGCGTGTGTGTGGGGGGGGTC